ATATAAATATATATAACTGCTGATTTTGTATATTAGAATGTTTTACTGATATTGTACTATATTTAAAGTAGAGATGCACCGATTGCAATTTTCTTGGCCGATTATGATTTCCGATTTTTTTGTTAGTGTGATCTACCGATTTTTGCCAATTCCGGTTTTCTTTCTAAGAACTATAACTGACAGCATCACAATACAAGCACTATTTAACCGGAGCAAATGAGACGTGTGTGTGTGAGAGAGAAGGAGTCTTCGGAGAGAAGAGAGCCAGAATGCACGGCTGACGTTATTGCCTGTGCCGCTGGTAACAAAACGGATTGGCTCGGAAAGAAGTGAGACTGACCGACCGATCACCGATCCGGGCCGATCATGAGGAAAATCGGCCAATTCTGATCCCTGGCCGATCGATCGGTGCATCTCTAATTTAAAGGCATAGCGGAAGATTACAGGATAAATGTAACCCTTTATTGTATTTTATTTTTATATTTATTTACTTATCAATGAAAACTGATATATTTTTGCATCCATACTAACAGGAATATAAATATGAAAAATATTTATAATAATAATTAATATAACTAAATAAAATAAGCAATATAATTAAACTAGAAAGATGTACTAACCAACCAGCATTTCGGACCAGAACTCTCCATTTCATAAATATGAAAATGAATATGAGCCAGGACAAGCAGTGTCCAGACATTCCAAAATTCATTACATTTATTAATATAGTAATTTAATATGCTATGAAGTGTTCTAGCATATACTACATTTTCATTAAACAAAGCACAAATTGGCAAAAAAAAAACTACACTTTCCATAAATTATTACAAATTTTGCAAATATTAACAATTGCATTGCTGAAATAGATGCAAAATGTAAATGCCAAGGACTGACTAAAGCTGTCTTTCTTCTGAGGAACCTTTAACAGAAGATCTGCTCACAATCCTCCCTCCTGCCCGTCCATCTGTGCACCGAACGGCTGTTTACTTTAGGACCATTAAAAGGTAAACCATCGCTGTAACTCAATCTGAGACGGAGGAGAGTGACGCGTGTGCGTGTGTGTGTGTGTGTGTGTGTAGAGGCCAAAACAGGATGACAGGATGTGACACTGATTCTGTCCAGAGCCAAACACACACACACACACACACACACACACACACACACCAGCAAGCTGTGTTCTCAGGCTAATCAGTCAGAGTAACGGTGCAAGTAATCAAGAAACTGTGGTTTCATTTTATTTCATGCTCTCATATAATTCTGCATATCCATGTCATGGCAACACAGAGTGCACACTAAGATATGCTGACAGAAACACACTCAGACTGTGACTAATGTATTTCTGTATCTCATAAATCTAACCTAAAAATTCAACATCTTTTGTAGTTGATGTGATAAAACCTATAGATCTAGAGTATCTATATATAACATTTTATTTATTTATTATTTATAAATTATTTATTAACTTAATTTATACATTTTCTTTAAACATAATCAAATAACTTTTTTATATAAATTAAATATAAAAACCTAAACAAATATTAATATTTAATTATTTATAATTAATTAATTATTAAATTAATTTATACATACATATAGCCTATTTTTTAGATCACGCAGTAATTAAATATTAAAATTAAAATATTTACAATTCTTCGTTAAAATAATTGTAATTCATTTCCAATATTTTAATCAATTAAATTTCAAATTAAATGCAGTACAATATAGACTATCATGATATATAAATACTTTATTACATAAATAATACATCTCATTATTTATTTATTTATTGGATTGTGGAAATAAAAATGAGAGTAAAATGTGCTTAACTGCCATAAAAATAATGCCAATAAATAAATATATATATATATATATATATGTATGTGTGTGTGTGTGTGTGTTTATTTATTATGATAAAACTTGCTAAATATATTATTATTTCCTTCTATTTTGGGGTGATATATATGGAACCTTGTTTCTGCCACAGGATAAGAAAAAAGTTTATATCTCACAATTCTGAGACAAAGTCAGAATTCTAACAAAAAAAAAAAGTCAGAACTGCAAGATGTAAACTCTGAATTATGAGAAAAACATATCTCACAATTTTATTCTCATTTTGAAATGAAATCATAATTGTCTTTTTTATTTGTTTTTCCTGTGGCGGAAACGGGCTTCCATAGAAATATGACTTGAAAATGTTCCTGGTTCTGTGTTAGATTAGAGAATGCATGCAAACACAGGTGACTACATTCATTTAGAAGAGCTCACGTGAGACTCAAAGCTGTTCCACAGAACTTCCCAATGACATCAAATCTGAGCTTCCTACAAACACATTCATGACATCAGCAGAGCGGCAGCCAATAGCTGCTCTCGCCACATGACCACCGGTCTGAATCAAAAAAGCATGCACTTCATATTTTTTCAAGGCTAGAGTGGATTTGAGCAAAACCTTCTGCAGTTTTTTAAGTCTCTCTCTTCAACAGAAGCTTGTTATAATAGATTCAAGACAGACATCCACATAACCTCAAACATACTATCATTTTTCAACTAAAAACAGGCTTTTTCCCCTTTTAAAGCTCTAGATCAGGATTAGCTGGTTTCTGAGGAAAACTGTACTGTCGACACAAAAGGATGAGACAACAAAAGCCGAAAATAACCGTGTAATTAAAAAATAAATAAACATACACAGCTGAGAGGAAGAAAGAAAAAAAGAACAAAAACAAACACTGAATGAAAAGGGCCGGCGTGAATTCCAGCCATTCTCTGAAGCAGCTCTGAAGCTATGAGGAAAGTCTTGCTCTGCCAGTTCAGTCTGGATGCTGGGACGGTGGAGTCAGAAGTGGGCAGGAGCCACATTAAACGGGACGGGCCATCATTAAAACAGCATCAGCTACCCTAAACAACTACACAGAGAGTCCAGATCCATCTGCGCCAGAGGAACACAACTATTCCAGTCCAGAACCAAAACCACGCCAGCAAGGCAACCCAACAACTGGCCTTAGTGCAAAACAACACCGCTAAAACTAAATATGTCCTGGAAATACACTTTCTGATATTATAATAGTACATAAACATGTCAAAATATCAGACTTTGGGCATTCAGACCCAAAACAGCCAATGTGTTTCTAGACTTTAGGGATTTAAAAGTTTGTACAGTTTGCGACAAGGTTTCAAAGTGACTTCAGGTTTAAATCACCACTTTAATAAGTCTGTTATAATGAACTAGTATAACCCAACAATACTTTTTAGGATGTTTGATATACGTTGTATCTGGATCAATAATGCTCATTTATATTAGGATCTATTATGATCAAAAATACATTTAGAATCATACAAAAAAAACCCGGCTTGAATACACCTTTTGTAAAAGTTTTTTTTTGTGCAGCTTTAGGTCAAAATGTATGAGAATAATAAATAATGGAATAAAAAATAAATTAAACAAATAAAAAAGGTAATTGTGAATTTTTACCTCACAATTCAGACCGTTTCTTGCAGTTCTGAGTGAAAAAGTCAGCATTGCGAGATATAAACTCTGACATTTATATCTCGCAATTCTGACATTTTTCTTAAAATTCTGACTTTACATCTCACAATTTGTTTCTGCCATGGTAGAAAAAAAAAGGTAATTGTGACTTATCTCAATTTCGACTTTTCTTCTCAGAATTGTGAGGAAAAAAAGACAGTAAGAAAAAAAAAACCTTAGAATTGTTTAGGGTTGGACGATGTCTATGTCTAAGCATGAATTCGTATTCAGAAAACGATTGCCAACGGTTGCCTGTTACATTACAGTACATAAAATTTCACTTACCACGGAGTAAGGAGAGATTACTGAGGACGATGGCGAATGATTTGCAGAGCCTCAGCACCACTGACAAACATCTAATCTTGTAAAATGTGTGGTGAGTACTGCTGCTCCATAGTATAAACAAAGTACGTGTGATCTCAATCTCGAAAGTGAAAGTGAAACTAAAAAGCCATCGTGCATTCAAAAGCAGTTTCAATGCCAGGCATAATAGCGGCTCCCTGATGCCAGCAATTTATATACAGTATAATTACCCAATAATATAACTGCGAGAGAAATTATTAAAATATGTAATTTCCTCCCATCTCGTATTTATTCCCTTTAGGGGTTGTGTGTACACGTCATTTTCTTCCCGAACACGGTATTGGGATGCGGCAGATTGCGGGGAGGTGGTTAATGGGGAGGAATCACGATGTCGGCTCAACATCGTTGTATCTGCCCAACCCTAGAATTGTTCACTTATCTTTTTTATTTTATTTAATTTTTTCCCTTGGCGGAAACAGGTTTTCATAAAAAATGTCTACAAGGTGTAACTAAAATTTCTTACAAACTGGGGGGAAAATGTTGGAAATGTTTGGAATTTTTTAATATTAGGTCTTTAAAAAAGCACCAATTTTGTTTCAAAATATTAACATTTGAAAATCTGTCATCCAGCAAATCGAAGTCAGTGTGGACTAACCAACATGCAGGAAGACTTTTTTTTGTTGGTCATGTGACAACAAACCCGTAAAACAGAGAGGACCCCTTTAGACCCTGTCAAGTTTAAGTTTTATTAATAACACATATTATAACTTCTTTATGAAAAGCCATCTTTTGTTTGGGTCAACCCCAAAAAACACTAATAATCTGACTCAAATATGTTTAAAAACAATAATTAAATTGTGTACACACCATGTATTTTAGTATTTCACTACTTTTTACTTGATGCTTACATAATTGATATTTTTAAACGTCATATTTTTTGTATAAAACAGTATGTTTTTTTGTTTTTTCAAAAATGTATGAAATACGAACACAAAGATAGCATTTCTAAAGATTTTGGCAGACATAAACTAGATTTTTAAGAGATTTCTCCTGTTTATCATCTCTAGACATCGACCACACAAGTTGAGAACGGCGCCCAGAAAAGTTTGTGAACTTTCGCAGAAGTTTCCAAACCGAGTCAAACTTCAGTGTGAACAATCAGACGTGCTTCGGGTACCTGATGCAGCGCCGTCAGCCCGTCTATATTGGCGTGGTTGATATCTGCTCCCTGTCGCAGGAGCTCCGCCACCTCCTCCCGGTCCCCGGCGGAGCAGGCGGCCATGAACACGGCGCCCTGGGCGAAGCGCACTCGGGCCCGTCGGTTTCCGGGAGCGGAGGACTGGCTCCTCGCCTCCGCCCCGGTCCGGTCCGTCTCCGAGCCCTGCCACCGCTGCAGCTGATCCTGCCGCCGCTGCTTTGCCGCTTCGGACCGGGAACGGTCAGTGGCCGCCATCTTCCTCCCTCGGTCTCTCCCGGGGAGTTTCAGTTCATCAGACAAGTGATGTCCGATTCACGTACGAATCGTTCTTTTGAACCGACTCCTTTGAATGATTCACTCGGACTAATTCCTGTTTGTGAATCAATCGGAATCGGACGAAGCGAATCGCTGAGGAAGTTCACAAAACATAAATAGGCTACTCTATATATCTATTTTTAATAGTTGATCAACAACTGACATTTTTTTCAGTTCAAACCAATCTACCATTACTACAATAAATCCATATCAAAGTCGCCACCATTAAAATGATTGAATAATTCACAAACTAGAGATGAGAATAATGGTGTCAACGACATAATAATATACAAGTAATCAGCGGAGCTAGGTATATTACTTACAAATTGTAATCCATTACTGATTCCAAAATACATGACAAAAATTGTAGTTAGTAACGTAATCCATTAGATTACACATTTTAGGTAATATAATCAGACTACTTTTTAATTACTTTTGACCTAACTTGTTTATCACAGTGATTTAAATAGGACAATTTTGTACCATATTGATATAAAAATGCAAAGAAAAAGAAAATATGTTCCATTCGTTGTTATTTACGACATTAAACATTACATTATAAAGGTTTCCCAAACTGGGGTTCAAAAAGGAACTGCAGGGGGCTCGAGAGTTTAATGAAAAGCTTATAATGAATTAAATCATAAAAATGTAAAATTAAAATAAATCATCTTAAAATAACATCAATCAAAACAAAACACTTACTAAAAAACTAAATATTTTATTTGTTTACCTGCATTAACCGTGAACATGCAAATGTGATATTTAATTACTGAAATATTTATTTTAAAATCTCAGGGGTACTTAAAGTATATATATTAGGTGAAAGAGGTTCAGATGATAATAAAGTTTGGGAATACCTGCATTACATGTAAATAAGAAATAACGTGAATTTGTGCATTTGAAAGACAAAAGCCTTCCAAAGACATAGTAATACATGGTTAAATAACCCTAACTCAAATACAAAATGAGTGTGTTCGTTAATGCAATGTTGAAATATTGAGAAAACACTTCTTGAAACTGAAATGATTTTTGTAGTCAAATGCTGTGTAATTATGGTCTTTGTGTGAAACTGGAAGACTTTCTGGATGTATATAAGCGGTAGGCTATTTTAGAAAGGAACATTTAAAAGATGAAGAAAAATGATTAGGGAGAATCAATAAATTATGAATAATTTATTGCTATTGTGTGAATAATATGTAATCATGTAATCAATAAAAAGTAACTGTAGTCTGATTCCGAGTATTTTAAAATGTAATTTAATCTAATTACAAGTAGGCCTACTTAATAATTTTTGGAATCTGATTACGTAATCCAGATTACATGTAATCAGTTACTACCCAGCGATTTTACAACAACAACAAAAAACGCCCAGTAATAGCGCAACTGGAGAACTGGAGTATTCACTGAAATGAATCGTTCAAATGAACCGATTCACTAAAAGGAATCAGAATGAGAAGAGGTCACAGACTGTATAAACGGAAGAAGCACATAAGGAGCAACAAATCGCGCCCTCTGCCGGCCGCGAAAAGAAGAACAGCGGAGGGGCGAAGTCGGGCGCAACTTCATCAGCCAATAGAAACGCAGGGTCGTGATGACGCAATAGCTCCCACGCACTTGAACTTGACTGTCTGTCGGAGCTGTAATGTAATGGATAGCGGATCGCTTTCCTATAAAAGCAGCGCTGTAAAAGTCAGGAGATGTTTGCAAAGCTTCCCCAGACACGTACAGTTTGGAACAGCAATGGCAAATATAAGACTAAAAGAAAATAAAGGCCAAAAAAGGAGGAGCACAGGAGAACCTTTTAAGCTTCAAAACTACCTAGCATGTAAAAAAACTTTATAACAAAGTTATTCTGTGCTGACATACTGAAGAAAAAAAAACAATAAAGAGTTATTTTACGAGAATACATCTTCAATAAACCCTAAATAGAGTTGAATTCTAAGTCAAAAATGTATTAGGTCTGTTAAACATTTACATTAGAATACTGTAACTGAGCAGAAATGCAGATTAGGAGGTGTATTTTATGGTCTGGCTCACACTAAAAGCCAAATCCCAGATTTTGAAGCATTTACAATAGATAAACGGATTAGTTTAGCCCAGAACTAACCTTAATCTGTGTCTGGCAACCATTCCAAATAAGCAAAAAATTAATAACAAGATGGTGCATTTACAACAAGTACAAAAAGTAGCAAGAAATATGCTTTACACATAAAAACATGAGAGTACAAGTACAGTACGGTAGCAGCATTGAGGTTGCATTGCCAGAGCATATGGTCACATGGTTTGCTTTGAATCAGTCTACATGCATAAACCTTCAGAAACCGCCTCAATCCGGATCACTTTACTTTTTCGGGTTTAAAACTATGCTGAGGTGCCTTCAAAACATAAATACTGATGAACCAGGACACCAGAGACACATCCAATTCCGTTTCTTTCTGATCCGTCTTAAAGGACTGTTCCTGGTTTAATACAGATTAAGCTCAATTTTTGTCCTGTTCTTCAGTAAATACAGTAACACACTTACAATGGAAGTAAGCAACAAATGTGAAGCTTGTATTTTTTGTAAAGCACTTACATTCATCAAAAAGTTTATTATTTCGCTGTAAAGGATGTTTTTGAGGTGAGACCAATTTTCTAGGTGGATGAACTTCTGCTTATGCAATGCTACTGATGTGATTCATGTATATAAATATATATATAAAATTTACTATGGTCATGGACATTAAAATCTGTGCTTTAAAAAATTCAAAACTCAAACTTCTCACAAAGATTTGCAAAGCATTTGCTTTCTTTCTGCTGATGCTAACCATCAGGCACTGAAATGTTCTACTCAAGGTTCCTCGGCATCATCACAGTGCATTGTGGGATATAATGGTCTCTCAGGCCCAGAGGTTAAGGGAGCAGGCTGGTGTTCAGGGCTCTGATGGGACGCATGGTAAGACCCTCCATTGCGTCTTGGTGGCTCAGCGAGCTGGAGGCACTGGGGTGAGCCCAACTGGTGGTGAAAGACCCTCGGAGGTCCAGATTGACACAGAAAAGGTACTGGTCCAATCGCAGCATGGCGTCCAGGACTGTGGAGCTGCCCCCGTAGACCCAGCCCGGGAGCAGACGTGCCACACTGAAGCTGGCCGGGACAGACTGGGAATGTTT